TGTGTGCTATCTTTTTTATATTGATGGACCAAAATTAATTTCTAAACTCGGTCTCAAACTCCTTCCAATTATAAAATCTACCTTAAGCTCTATAGCTTCAAATTTGATGTTACTACCAAATGATTGCCACATCTTTCAAATAGTTGATTGCATACATAATTTCTTTGGTGGTATTTGTTCCAAATAGTTAGAAGTACTGTTGTATGCTAAAGAGCCATTGACATACATCTTCTTGCTTTGAAGTATCAAAGTATGTATCAGGCTTACTCAATTTCATCTTAGTAAATATTGACTTTTTTGTCCTAAAGGCTTCTATTTGCTCTTGTAAAGTAGCTATCTTGTGAAGGAATTGTTGTATTTGAGCCTCCATCTGGAATTGTCCCACCATATCTCCCATGCTATAGTTTCATTGTTGAACTCTACTATTGTAATGCCTTGTCTTCTTCTAGCTGACTACTTAAGAATAGCTTGTGGTAGCTTCAACACAACATCCAATGTGACCACAATAAATAACCTCAAACTAGATGGTCGCTATTGACATGCTACCAAAGAATAATATAACACTCACTTTTATATCAATAAAATAAGATGAGACTATCTCAAAAATCTTAGATCCTTCTAATCCACAGCAATATAAATTCCATCACAATATAAGACATAGCAAACTACAACAAAAAAAAATAGAAAAAAATTAAACAAGAAGATATAAAATCAAATTTTACTTAAAAAAAGGGTCCAAAGCTACACTTGATCAAATGCCTAAATGGCCTTGACCAGTCCTATTTATACTTTGTCCAACTATCTTGGATCTTTTTAAAATATTCTTAATGGTGTATTCTACCTAAATAACTATCATAAGCTCTTTTTAGAATGTTCCATGATGGGCCCCATCTAAATAACTACCTTAAGTTTTTTTTATAATATTCCATAGTGGATCCTATATTGTCCACTAACTTAACTCCAATTCTAAAAACTTCTATAAACTTCTCAAACATGGCTCCAACTATCTATTCTTATACATTGACAATACAAATATCTTATCTATGTCCCGTTACATTTTAAATCTCAATAGTAATTAGTTAGATCTTGACTTCAAGTCCAAAGTACTAAAGATTCTTTCTTTTTCATGTACATTAAATAATTTTTTAATTATTGGAATTAGATACTAATCAAATTTAGTATTTTCATTAATATAATAGTAGTCTTTATATATTTTCTTTTCCATCTAATTTTTAAGAACATTATTTTTAGCTGAAATTATTAATATATATACTTCTTATTTGAAAATTCTATCAATCCAACATCCAATAGTTCCTTGAATCTTAACTTTATTTTATTTTTCTTAAAAATATTAAGCTTATATAGATATTTTAAATTAAGCAATCATATTTTAATTAAATTTTTAAAAAATAATTTATTTCTCTAAGATATTAAATTTTAAAAAAAATCTTATATAAGTATATAAATGCTTATTTTTTTGTGCCTTAATACATACAAGCTCTAATTCCTATGTCTATCTTCTATATTTTATGATCTAATAAGCTCATGTTGATTCCTAAAGATCCTTTGTTTGGAATTTCTACCTTTTTAAGTTATTAGTTAAATGATTGTGCATCTTTGTTCTTATAAAAAAAAATAGATTTTTCTTCTCTTTTACTAACTTAATTATTCCAACTCCACTTTTAATCATAAATAAATCATTTGTTGGTTGTATGGATGGACTTACAAATAGAAATTCTTTTATAAATGAATCTTCTAGAATTTTCTCTTAACATCTTTCATGTCCCAATCATGTATAAGTATTGCCAAAACATGTTGACATTTCAAAATATTTGTTACAAGGCACTCCACAATATCTTCATCTGTCATCTATTAAAGAACTTGACTCCATTCTTTCCTACCTTTTTGTCACATCTTAGCTTCTAAAAGAACTTTCTTTTGCACAAGTAGAAGTACAAGCTTTATATATCAATGTACTAGCTTTTCATTGATATGTAAAGCTTTTCAACCAAGTTGGTCTATTTCTACTTCAATTGATGATATAGGATCTTAAAGTTATAGCATCTAATATCTTTAGTTTTCTAAGATGTTGGCATATTACTCACAATTTTTAATAATAAAATATTTTTAAATATATAAACTATATTCTTGTCTTTTTTTGACTGCCATTAGCTTAACAATGATGAGATCTTCTAAAATAAACCAAATCAAGGGTATCAAGTCTTTGGCCATATTCTATCCAAATATGCCCTTGACAAGGTCATCCGACTATTATAAGATTTATTATTTCCAATCTTTAAAAGTTTTTTTATCAACATAGTAATGTTAGCTAAAAGTTGTAATATACAACTTTAAATGGCATTTTCAAATAATTTTTATAAATATTGCAACTATACATATTCTAAGTCATACTTTGTTATCTTTCTTATTACAATATTGTTGTTTACATATATATAGCTTGGCATAGATTATCAAATAAATAAAAATAACTTAAAAGAAAAAATTATCAAACTTAAGAAAATAATCAAAAAATAAAATAAAATATTACAACCACTTGATTAAGACTAAATAACACTACAATTTCATCAATAAAAATACACATTGGACTTGTTGTTGCTGCTTTTCTTGCTATCAACAAAAATCTTGTAACAATTTGCTGTTGCTATTTCTTTTCCCTACTATTAATAATTTTATAGAAGTGAACTACTAATATTTCACTTCCCTACTAACAATGATGACATGTCCTTGTGGTTGATATAGCTTTCTTTTTTGCCAATGGCAATCACTACAGCATTGACTACTCTACCTCTCATCTTTGCAAATAATGATCATCATCGCAATCAACTATTGCTACGTCTAAGAAATATCACACATCCAATTACTTCTCTAAAACCTTAGATACAAATCCATCTAGGCTATAGTATAGCAAAAACCTCCTAACTACTTATTAAACTCAAAAGTAAAACTAAATTTGGAAAGAAAAAAAGAGAGAAATAACCAATGATCCAACCTAGTAGTTTTAATAGGTAGGTTAAAAAAAGACAACTATAGTCTTTTCTAATACTTTGTCCTTCATCTTTTCTAATAAGCAACTACTTAAGCAATGTCTTTACATAGCTTTTCAAATTCTTTTTGAAATGCTTATTAGAAATGACCTTATATTGTTTTTTTATAATTCCATCTCTTTAAGATGTTCTAGAGATAAGATGCATTAAAAGCAATTGAAGCAAACAACATTTTTTTTTCATAGCTTATTTGATTAGGATGATGGCCTTTAATCAAGCCACGAATTTTCTTAGGAAAGCTACTAATTCCAAATCATTGGCTAGATAAGCCAATGGCTTGTACATTCTACAACTAAAAGAAGATTGTTTATTATAATACTTATATAAATATACTACTTTTAATCATAATTACCAATAAATAACAAATTATATATTAATTTAGAAGAGAATCATCCCTTCAAAAAAAATTTGTGAGGTGTTGTACTACTTGACATTTTTCTTGCAATTTATCATGTTATATCTTCAATTATTTTCTAATATGCAATCTAACCTTGTTGATTGTAACTCATTTACTCTTTTATACTTCTAACTTAAGTTTATTTAGGATTCTTTTTCTACTAAGCCAATTTGAACACTGATATTTTTTAAAGAAAATATTATCTTCTCAACATGATTCTACCTACTTCTACATCTTTTACTTTTATTTCTATTTTTTCAAATAATACAAGTATTTATTATACAATGAAAGTTTTAATGTTATTATTAATGTCATAATTTTTATAAATTAATTATTGTAATATTATTAATCAAAGTTCTAAAATAAAAATGTAATTTTTACAAACCTCTATAAAAATTTGAAAAAAAATTAATATAAATAAATAATTTCTATATACTTGAATAAAATCCAAATTAATTAATAAAAAAAAATAAAAAAAAAATTCAAAGCTTCTATGAAGCATATGACTTATTGATCAAATATCCAAATTATAAAAAAGTTCTAAAGTTATTCTTTAAAATAAAACACCTCTTCTAAAATTTTAATAGAAAAGTTGTATATCTAGGAGTATTTATAGATATAATTCTTATCTATATAAAAAATCTATTAAATTTTTTTAAAGATTATTTTTAAATTGATATACATATACATATATATATATATATATATATCATTATTTTATAAATGATAAGTATATTTTATATATTGTATATATATTAAAGTTTTACAAAGATAATCAAGTTGCTTTAAAATAGGCTCCAAAGATTAAGATTGTGGAGATTTAAGTATCTTATATAATTTTTAAACTAAGACATCATGGCTTACAACACTTAGAATTCCTTAAATTTAATAAATCAATGGAACTTACTTCTCTTTTATTCTTTTTTTTCCATCATACTTTTGCATACTTTAGAATCTTTTGGCAACTGAGTTTGGTCTCACTTCCTATTATAGTACTTTTAATTTTTAAGATTTTGGACTTCAAATTTTATAAAAGATTGGAGGTTCTATCAATCTCTTTTGGCTAGAAAAATAATTTTTCAATGTGAAAAGAACTTTGGCTATGTAGATTTCATAATTTTTCAACTTGAAAAGAGCTTTGACTATTTAGATTTCACATATAGATTTCATATAGTTGCATCTTTTTCAAAGTTAGAAGATAGTGCAATGGCATGTCTTAAATACCTTTGTTTGAAATTAAAAAACCAAATCATCATTAAACCTATATTCTTTTATAATAACAAAAACACATAAACATGATGACAAATTCTATAACATTGACAACAATGATTAAAAAAATTAAATGATATTCATGATACTAATAATTTAGAAATACTTTGTATTACTCCTAGATATAGAATAATAATAATAATAATAATAAAAGATATTCAAAAGTTGCAACCACGTTTAAGCTTATTAGAAAAATCACACCTATAACCATGAAAAAAAAACATTCATTGATCCATCCATCAAATCCCCAACTCCACCCGCACACGGCATTGTCCTCGGATGAACAGATTATTTTATTAAATGGATGAATAGAAAGTAAGCGGATGAACAGACAGACACACGGCGGCGTCCGCATCCGAAACTGAGCTTTTCCGAGTGAGTCGGTAGAGTTGATCGCTTGCGAGCTCAAGCACCACCAAAAATCTGGCCCCACACCATCTTCTCCATTCTCACATCACGGCCTGTCTTCTCAATCCCTGTTGCGCCATTACCCATCTCCCTACTTTTTTGCTGTGTGCGCTCAACAACAACCGCGACTCTTAGGAACGGATTGATGCGCAGTTTCTGACAATTTTGCAGTACAACTTTCTACAATTGCTGCCAGTTGAGTCGTAGATTCGGAAATCTGGAGTGGGTCTTTCCGAATTTGAAGACTTGGAGACGCTGCTTGGGTTCAGGGGGGTGAGTGATTACCGCGGCCGAACAATGTGCTTATGGAAATTAGCTACAATATCGATACTTCATGTGAAGAGAGGGTAAAAGTAAGCTAGATGGCGGACTTGTGGGTTTCGCTGGGTTTCTTTTGGTGTGTATCCAACAAGCGGAGATTTTCCTCGTCGGTGGATACCTTCAGCGGAGGTTTTTGGTCCTTGGACTTCATGGCCTGCAGCTTGGCGTAGTTGTAGTAGCACACCGCGATGAAGGCGACGGCGTAGCCGATGAGATTGATTTGGGTCACCTTGTCCATGATGACGGACCAGGAGAAGGCAATTAGAAGCCAGTCCTTCACCACTCCTGCGACGTTCATGGTCAGAGCAGATGTCTTCCCCACCAAGACGAATACGGAGATGTTGAGGAGAAACGCCACCATCGAGTTCAAGCCGAATGTCACGACGTCCACGTGAAACGGTGCACTGGCAACGAGTCTCGGGTACTCCATGGCGTACCACGGCACCGACAAAAACAGCAAGCACGCCGGTGCAACGTAGTACAGGGTTGTGATTGGGTTGAGGGAAATGCCTTTGGAATTGAGCAGGATCTGGATCAAGACCAGACGCAGTGCTTCCACGCAAACAGCTGACAGTTGCAGCACGACCCCGTATAAGTCGAAACGCACCTCGCCGTATGCTGCAATTGCAACCCCGATTGAGATCAGGACCATGTTGGTCATCGTCTTGGATTGGAACAACTCTTTCTTGAAGACGACCCCGAGGGAATAAACCGCCACTGGCATGAGAGCCTTGAGCATCTGGATGAAGGAAACGCTGAGATAAATGTAGGCCGAGTTCGAGAACCAGAGCGAGAGGGAGAAGAGCAAGCCAATGGGGACGATGGATCCCATGTAGAGATCCCTTGTCATCGCCGCACACGGCTCCACGAGCTTGAACACGCGCACGAGCAGGAACGCGAGTCCAGACGAGAAAGCCATGTGAATCATGGTGAGCGAGATAGGGAATGGCCAATTGTACATCTTCCTGTCGAGAATGTATTTGTTGAAGATGATGACCGAGAAGCTGAGGAAGATCCAAATTCCGACGTACATGTAACTCAGAACGATCTTCTTCATCACGCCGCTGCTGTCAACGGAGCTTGTACCGCCCTTCCCCATTGCGAGAGACCTCCTCGACAACGGTGAACGACACTGCAGCTAAAATTGATTGAGCCAATGCACAGACCCGTCGCAACAATTCCGCCCCCTCTCTCCCTGTCTCGTCTCCTACAACTAAACAAATCCCGATGCGTTGACCCAATCCATTCCCTGTACTTCTCTTCGTCCCTACCCAAACACACTTCCCATGACGCAACCCAACAGTGCAACCTGCAGTCGTCGATTCTAAACAGCTTCGTCAACAAAAAAAAACAAAACAAACAAACAAACAAACAAACAAACAAAAAAAAAATTACAAACGAAAAATCAGACAAAAAAATTCAGTTCATCGACACGGCGACCGAAACCCAGATACCGAGCCTCTTCGTAATCGATTTCTCACACGCTCATCGACAAAATTCGAGCCACCACCACCCTCAGGTACAGTGAAGCTGCAAGCGCTTCCTAGAAGCTATAAAAAGGGCAGCAGCGGCAGCAGCAGCAGCAGCAGAGAGGCAGTGAGTGAGAGAAGTGGGGTGACACACGAGGAAGCAGCACCAACTCATGCCATCCTGTGACCATAAGTATCTTTGTTTGCACGTATTCCTCTTCGACACAACACAGCAGCGCCGCTATGTACCCAAAGCCTACAATGCGCAAACACGACAACGAGGGGCCTTATTCTCGCTCGCTCACCTTTCAGGCTCCTGACGCCTCCTCTCTTTACTGCGAGAAGGCTCCATGTTTTCTATCTGATCGTTACTCCGTCTCCTTCTCTGTAACGACGACGACGACGATGACGACGACTCGGAGTAAGTGGCACGTTGTCGACGTCGGACAATCGGCAGGTTTGTGTTTATTCCTCTCCCTTATTGTGTCCCTGCTTTTTTGGGACCCTTTTTCTTTACCGATTGCGCTTTTACCGCAGATGAAGCCACATTTGTGTTTCCCAAAGTGGGGTTCGCTGAGTTGGTGTTGTGCGTCCCACAAGTGTCCGCCATGGCCATGACACAATCTCAGCGCTCGCAATCTCTACCACGTCGCTAACCCTAGAATGACACAACCTTTCAAAAACACAACCCTAAAACCAACCAATTTCATGTCTTTTTAACACCTTGAGGTTCTAGATTCATGTACTCATATGCTTTGTCTTTCGGCCATGCAAAAGCGAAGCTGAAGTTCCTTGCGAACACATGAATTTCTTTACCCTTACATCAATAATTGGGAGTGTTTCTTTTGCATAAAACACACCTTTGTAGATCCTTTTCTTTTTATTTTGTTTTTCTTCCAAAAAGTCAATTGGGTTTAATGGCAGTAATAAACAAACAAACAAACAAACAAACTGTCCATTGGGAGTGTGTGGGTGTTATCTCTTTGGTGGGCAAGAGGTGCCATGCTTGTGCAGTTGAAGCAAAAACATGGTGGGCTATGGTGCCCACCTCCAAGCTTTCAAACTTGGGCAAATAATCAAAGAAGCAAAATGCCCTTACCAACCTTGAGAAAGCCAAAAAAAAGAAAAAAAGAAAAAAAGAAAAAATCCCAAGGAAAGTTTTCAAAGAGGATGAATTTAGGGTTAGTGCTTGTGATTTTGTGAAGAAGAGCATGGTTTTCTTAGGACTTGTTTTGTGGCTTTGCTTCATTCTAAAAAGCATCCATAGGTACATGATGAGAAAATGAGTTCTTCTACAACTATTATGATGAGTTGTAGAAAGGGCATGTGAGTAAGATGGCGTGGTTTAAAAGCTTTCACGGGGCTCCCGTATTTGTAATGGACTTGGAAGAGTTGAGTGTGGATTTTTGAGTGTTTGGGGCCTTGGAATTGCCTTAATGACAAGCTCCTTTCCATGCACATGAAGAAGAGTGGGCCAGTGCTTTTGCCAGAGCCTGCCCCCTTATGCTTAATTGTGGTTTTAAACACAATTATATGTTTTGTAACACATATGATATATAAAACATAATTAGTTCAAATTTTGAAATTTGATAGTAAAGCTTCAATTTAATGAGAAAGTTATTGTCACTATTAGTTATTTTTAAACATAAGTTGTTTTTCTACACATTTTCCATGTCCGGGTGTGATGCATAAATAAAAAATGTACTTGAAAAACAATTGATCTTTAGCATGATGTTTCATGATAAGCTTGAAACTATGGGCCCACATCCAACTTTGTGCAACTTCAATGAATAAAACACTCAAGCCCCCAAGTGCATAATGGATGAGAAGTGAGATCTTTTGTATTTATTTGAGATAAATAATAATAATAATAATAAATAAATAAATAAATATATAAACATCCACACAATCCATTCTTAGTGAAAAACTTAATTTATAAACATATGAAATTATTTAGTTTTAAAAGTGATTTTTATCATATTATTAACCAAGGTTCTTTAATGAGCATGACTCTTTTTTCTCTTATTTTATATATATATATATATATATATATATATATATAGATATATATTTTATTGTCATATTGTTTATGCTCTTTATAACATCAGTGTTCAGATTGTTTTTCCTATTCAAATACTATCCTTCAAAAACGTGATTATTGGATAAGTGTAAGTAATGATTTACTAATTCAAAAGTTGCATATTAATTTGGAATGTCTGCATTTCGTGTTGTATTTTCTACAACTTGACTTTTGTGAAATCATGTATTTTATGAACACCTTCTTTTTTACGTACCAAGTCTATTTATCCTATGAAATTATAAGTTATAATCACCAGATGGTTACATTGTACTTTCCATTCAGTTATTTGGAATCGTGAAAGACCTTTTTTTTTTAATTTTGAATTTTGAATTTTCAATATTACTTTGCATTTTTTATTTTTAAAATTTCTCTCTATTTATTTATTTATATTCCTAAATTTTTATATTCCTCTACTTAAAAAAAAAATGCTACAAAAGGAAACATATGAACATGATCAAATTCTAAAGAATCAATGTTGTTAAGATATGATCATATTTTATTATGGTTCTATATATTTCAATTCCTTATTCTTTATAATAAATGTTTCAAAAAGAGAAATGAATTAATAAATCTAATACTTTTTACCGCAAAAGCCCATTGATCTTGTGAAATGTATAAAAATGGACTCAACGTGGTACTTTTCTATCTATTTGTACACACACACACACACACATATATATATATATATATATATACTACCTTCAACAAAACCTAGATTTTATTTTTTAATTCCATTTAAGAAGATTGCTTCAACACAACCACCGTTTATGTTTTAGTTTTGTAGAAATTGAAACTTACTATCCTAAGAATTGTCATCTAGAAAAAATGTGTACTCACATCTAATTAATGGAATTGGAAAAGAAAAATCAAATCTTAAATTTTATACACCATCCAAATGCTCTATTCAAATAATGAATTTATCTGATTTTCTTTTCTTTTCTCTGACATTAAAAACTACTGTTCAGAATTGCTCTCAACAATCTTAAACAGATCATCTATCATTTACATCATTATTATATCAACAATTTCTGAGCTTGTGCATGGAAATGCATGTTGACCTCAAGCACTGAAAATGATTTGATCTGTTGTCTTCTTCCACTTTTTAGAATACAAGTGTTGTTTCTTTAATGTTCGCTATACATTTATATGATTGCTACTCTGTGGTTGTTTGGTGAAGTGATTGACATTGATAATTAAATTTTTATTCGTTAATACTCTGTTTTTCTATTAATTCTTTTTTTTTTCTTTTTTTCTTTTTTGTGAATTCAATCATTTTAAGGTGATTAGAAGGGGAAAAATTAGGACTATGAGGGTCTGAATATCCATCTGCTTCCAATGCTTATTGCAAATTTACTTTACATGTGAAGGTTGAAGAAGTCCATTAGTCTTAGAGATCAATATACTTTAGAATGTCCTCTGTTCTAAATTTAAAGAAAAATCATATAAAAGTTTTACAATTCTTGGTATTTAATTTTTGTAGTACTACTCATCTTTGTATCATGTTTTAAAAAAATGAAATTGAAAGGTGTCAATTATTATTATTTTTTAAGACAACACAAAGACACTTACAGAGATTATGAAATGTTTTTGTGTTAGAAATATTCAGATTATTGTCCAAATTTTTAATCATATAATACATTTTGAAAGTATATTATATAAAAATCAAATAACGTACAATAATTTATTTTTCTACACATTAAGAATATAAAATTTTTATTCAAATTTGAAAAAAATTGATTAAGAATATGTTAATGATTTTAAAAAGAAGGAAAAGAAAAAGAAAAAGAAAAAAGATTTCACATCTTAAATTTCAATATTTAATACTCTTCATACTTTTTAGTTATATTAAATCATTCAGATTCATATTCTATTTGTTAAAGATATTTATATTTCAAAAAAATGTATTACATTATTATTTTTTAAATATATTATATTGCTATTCTGTTCTAAAATTAAAACAAGAAAAACAGTAAAGTAAAATGCTATTGACTTGTTTAATTTTTTTTAAAAAAAAACAATTGTAATTATGACTGCTCTGAACTTATCTTCTAAACATAATTTTGATTTCATATTTTATATCTCTTTTGCAGTTTTTACCTAGAGTTCTAGTGACTTGTTATTTAAACAACTCTGAAAAGTTTGATTTAATTATTTATGAAATCAAAGAATATTACTTAGGAATATACTGAAACTCTTTAGAAAGCATCATGTAAAGTTATCAAACAGCATATAAAGTGTAAAAGTTTTAAAAATCATTTAATATTTTATGTTGGTGACATACATTTAACAACTGTTAATTTTTTGCATTTGTTTTTATCTACATAGACTTTTTCTTTCCTTTTAGTTTTTTTCCTTTACAGTTCCTTTGCTATATATGCAAGTTTTTTTAGACAGGATTGATGCTTACAAAAATTAAATTGAAATGTTTTGCAATAATGTGCTACTTAAGCAATTTTTGTTTGTTGTAATAACTTCTTTCTATCTATAAACCTTCCATCATTCTAATAGGTGCTAAATAATTATACAGAGATTTGAAAATATTTAAAATCGATAAGATTTAATAGTAAAGAAATACAAATGCAAAGTTGAATATTTAATTAAACTTGTAATGAATGACTCGTAAAAAATAAATAAATAAATAAAACGGGAACATGTTTTGTTTTTCTACGAAAATTTTAGAGAGAAGAGTAATTTTTCTATTGTTAAAATTACAATAGATGACTGTATCTAGTGTTAACAAATAACACATTTCTCCTCCTCCATATTTTTTTTTATTCTGTAATACGACTTGAATGCAAATGTGTTCTTATGATCCAGACATCTCAGATGTGCAACGACAAATATTTCCATAGGATATGAAGCTTTCACTCTACACGGATGTAAATGAGCAACAACATTTATTGAGCACATTACACTGTACGCAATTGCACACAAAGATCACGCTTGGAATCAGGACGCAAGGGCGGAGATGAAAACATATAAACCCCACCTTTCATCAAGACTCCTTACTTCGTCTAACGACATTTTCACATATCACTCAAAATTCCATTACGTAACCGGCTAGAGAGATTTTACCCACTGGAGTAGCAAACGCGCCTATTCCAGCAGAACACTAACCACACAATGCAGTTGGAGATACTATAACTTTGCAACACTACAAAGAAGATCCTTGCTTAAAATTAGAAAGATTCAAATTCGGTCCAAAACTGCGGCCCAGCATGGTTCTGAGCAGCATCCTTTCAGGCACTGAACTTTCATTCTTGAACGTCGATGAATTTACGATAACATCCCGCGCAGCACAATATTTCGGACCTTCGTTATTATTAATGTTCTTATATTTCATAGAGCATGCCTACCTCAAGATAGTTTGCTGGAGGAATCTGCAGCTCCTTTACGACAGATCGGCAGAGGATCCTGAGAATAGAGTAGCCTTTGTTGATAACAAGTCGCCCAAACCAGCCAGTTGACTCAGTAGTCCGGACAGTGATCTTGCCCACAACATGAACTGCGTCGACTTCACGGGCTTTGTTCAACTCCATTAGGTCCTCCAGATTGTGGGCTGCAATCGTCCTCTGAAATGATGGCGTGCGCCCATCCATTCCATTTGCATCTGGTTCATTTCTCTCTTCATTCTCGAGATATAATTGCAGACTTCGCAAAGCGTGATCCTTGAATGCTCCGTCCTTGCAGTCAATCACATCTTGGTAACCATAACATGCTACACAGCGATACACTCCCTTGAATCCAACCCGTCCAACATAAAATCGATCTTCAGGTGCTACGGTCCGTACCGGTAAGAACTTTATTGTGGTAAAGACCAAAACTTGATGCAGCGTTCGAACGTTTTTCATGTAGTGCGTGATGATTGGAGGCACGCCAAGCGCCAAATCACTATAAAAGAAACAAATTCCAGGTACCCGTTGTGTTCCCATACTGAAAATTGAAGCACCTAAATTGTCGAGGCTGGTCTTATGACTCACCTCATATGAATGCTTTGTCCGCCTCCCATAATTCCAACAGAAGGAAATTGCAAGAAACATTGATGCTATTGCGAAGGGGACCCAGCCACCGTGTGGTACTTTGACGCATACGGCTGTGAAGTAAACACCTTCAATAAATCCAAAGACCGTCAGGAAGAGAAGGGCCACAGGCCATGGCAGTTTCCACACTAGAATCATCACTAACGTAACCAAAATAGTCGTTATCAACATCACGCCTACCACGGCCACCCCTGCGCATACAAGGTTATCCAAGATCAGCAGACTTCCCAGTTTTGATGAATATAAAACATTATTCAGAACCAGACAACACCAATAAAATCTTCACTGCATAAACATTCCAACATGGGACAACATGCCCAAACAACTTACCAAAAGCATTCCCAAGCGTTCCAGCGTCTTGAAATCCGACTACCACTGCAATGCATAGAACCATAAGCATCCAGTTGATTTCTGGAGAATAAACTTGCCCTTCCTGATCCGCAGATGTGTGCACCATTTTGACTCGTGGAAAACATCCGAGTGACGTACATTGCTTGATCAGCGAAAATGTCCCTGTTATGAGTGACTGACTGGCCACGATAGCAGCTAATGTTGCCACGATAAAAACAGGCCAGTAAACTGCCTTAGGGACGGATTTGAAAAAGGCATTCTTATGATCACCTGGATGAGCTATCAGATACGCGTTCTCACCGGCATAAGTAAGGATGGCGGATGGATAGACAAGGCAATAGAATGCGATCTGGGCAAAACAACTGAACATTAGTATATTGAAAAGAGACTTGCTCCGAAATCCAATTCAGCCACGATTTCATTAAATTTTAGACGTTAATTTTAATGTGTTTCACAATCTTACTATTAAAGCAACTACTCACCTGAATTGAGCGCTTATTGAAGTGGCCAAGGTCAGCATACGAAGCCTCCGCACCTGCCAATGTATCCAGGATACAATGATGGAATCAAGACTATGTGTATGCCTCAGCTCCGGACCAGAATCATGCAATATGTCTAACAGTCTAAGCCATGCATTCTTTTTTTTTCCCATAAAGTGTAACTGCTAATCATCCATAATTTCCGGATGTCAACACCAATGGCTAATAGAATCTCATAGTACATTTGAAAACCAGAAGATAGGCGATCACAAAAGACAACGAGCATCACACGAAGGATACGGACCAAAGAGCAAGATACATAACCATAATAATTATCACCTTCCAAAAAGTTGAGCACGAGAAAAAACGCACCTGTGATGCAAAGCACCACGCCTCCTAGCGCTATCCAACCTTCCTTCTGATTTACTCGGAAGAACTCGATGATGTAACGAGGAGATATTGCTTTGAATATGGAGGGGTAGTACTGAACAACGTTATAAACCCCAATAACTGGAGTTACCAAAAACCAAATCAGCATTATAGGTGACAATAGAAAGCCCATCCGATTGGTTCCGAAACGCTGCACCAGAAATAGCGCCACTAATATGGCTGCCGAGGTCCACGTTACAACAGCTGCCGATTCACAAATTCACAGTGGGGTTCTGAATTAGACATATCTGAAGACCGATTTCATGGCAAAGAAAATGAAAAGCAATACACCTCGCCTTTGAAACAGGTTAGTAAAACAAATTGCAAATGTTCTTTACTTTGAGGACACAATGTGAAATCGATTGTAAGTCCCCTGTGAGCAAGCGACCAAGATGACATGCCTCATTAACAAATGTAGAAGTGAGACTGGTCAACTATCGCATGAAAGAATCAAAAAGGGCATTTGCATAATCCCGGTATACTAGATGGCATCAGTATAGTCTTCAGTTGCTGCTTACAAGTATTGATAGACGGATCCTCGCTCTGAATTCCAGCCATGGCTGATAACACTACACAAGCAAACAACGTAACTCAGTACGAACCACGTAAAACATATGACTAATTCACTCCAAGATGATTGCGTAACGGCGCTTCAAAACAAGAGAAGAGATTTTGAAGCCCACCTGAGATGGCAGGCGTGAGTATGCCATCACCAATGACGAGGCCAGTTCCAAGCATTACCATAACAAAGAGAACAAATTTGGCGCGCTCATGCCTCTCAATGAAGTGACGCAGTTTTTTTGCCAAAGTGCTTTCAGACTCCTTTGCCCGAGTCTCTTTATTCATGTTTGCTCCCGCTAAGATGTAGACCGATGGGTCCGCAATGTTCTGCCCAAAATTAGCGTTGCGGCAGAGAATGGAATACACCGCGAATGTCCCCCCTGCTCAACCATGTATGGAGGTTTAGCCATACCTCCAACGAAAGTTCGTTAGCTGTAATCAACTAAAAAAAGAATTTGAAGACTGAAACCTTGAGATAATTGACAGAAATTCGTGGCTTTGATGCAATCGCTTCAAAATGTAAACGTTGATTTCACTATGGAAGACATAGATTCTACATAAGGTACAAGTAATGAGATTAGACCTTCGCCATGATCATCCGCATTAATAACGATAAGCCCGTATTTAATTAAAGCCACCAGCGTAAGTGTCCAGAATATAAGACTTAACACTCCAAGGAATTCTGTTTCCCCGGGATTTGAAATCTGGATTGTTGGCCACACATAGAGTGGGGAAGTTCCCAGCCCTCCAAATACAACACCAAGTGTCTGATACGCCAATACAATTGTTTCCCATTTGCTGTAGCTCTGCATTCAATCCAACAACGTGGAGATAAGTTTCAACGTTCAAGCAGCCAATTCAAATCAATGTTCTTATTTACTCTCATCTGACATCACATGTAGGCAATTGATTGAAGTAATCAAAGAAGGAGGGAGGCAACGCGGGGTCAAGACTGTAAACAAAAACGCTTCAATAATGCTACAGAAGAATCAAGTACAATTGCACACGAAATAAAGTGAACAAAGAACTAACCTTCTTATCAGGGTGAACAGGGGCTAACTTCGCTTTGAAACGCACATCCGAAACCGCTCTCCGCAATCGAAACTGCTTTGAATTTAAGCCAACTTTTGATGGTATCCTCTCGACGACAGAGGTTTCCTCACGAGCTTCATTCTCATTCAAAGGGTTGACCTTGAGGTCGAATGCCGTTTCCCCATCATTTTTGACAAACTTCCAGTCACGTTCTCCTTCACGGAAGGCCCCCATTTCCAGATCATAATTGGGCGCATCCACAGCCCTAGAGCCGCCTGACATGATTTCGAGTTCGACAATATTCCTATCGGAAGAACCTGCTAGAGAAATTGCGAAGGAGAAAAAGGGCTCTTGAGAAGAATAAGATTCTCTTAGAGTATAGATCTAACTTCTATGTTGGCATAGAAGAAAGTCTTGCTCGAGCGGGTGATGCTGCAGGAAGTTGTCAAGAGACGAATTGGGCTTAGGTGACAAACCCCGTCCTGTCTGAAAGAGGCATCATTCTACTCATTCGTAGATGCTGGTAAGCTAAAAAGCTTTGAAAAGCAAGAAGGAGATAGTGAAGTCATATCCAACAGGCCTCGAAACATATTAATTGCATTGCTTTATCGCCTCAGAAAGCCTTCAGCCTATAGATACACTAACCACTAATTTGGCGATAAGGATCACCGTTTGATCAAAATTGAATGAGCATAGACCAAACAAAGTTGGGATTTGCAAATTCGGAAAAAACAACTGTAACAATGCTAGCTCACCAACCCCCTCCTCCACTGGAAGAACGCTTGCTTCGCTGTTGTGAAGAACCCAGCTTCCTCGATAGGATGAGAATGGGAATCGGGCGATGGACAAAGCACCAGTCGCTCTGTAATCCTGTGTTCGTCTCGGCCATCCTTAATACGCTCAGCTCAACAAACAAAAATAAAATAAAATGACCCGGGCGTCAGAAATGGTGAGTACGCGAGGGTCTGTTCAATGCCTGAAAATGTGTTGCTTCTCCTACTTGTTCAGCAATCTAAAAGAGGCGAGTGCTGGCTGTGGAAATACTCGCGTAAATGCGTTCTCCCAGAATAGATTACGCTTGAAAAAAGTGTGAATAGCCGTCGTTGAGAAGAAGACTTCTCGCGGTTGGTTCTAATAAATTCTACGTGAGATCTATCATCCATAAAACAAATCGAATAGTTAGACAGCTAAATTGACAATTGAACGAGATTTACGAAGAATGTAACACACTGCTCACACAAGAAATTATCAGACACTTCATTATCCAGCAGTGGAATTGCGAAGTAGAAAGCACCAACACACTGCCAGAAACTGCGATGATTTCAACACAAAGATCACATCTCACGAGCACAGTGCACCTCCCAACGAAACCACATACACCAACGGTAACAGGCAAAAACAAAGAACTGAACTTGACACTGACAACAAAGGCACTTATGAAATTCTCCCGCCACACTCCCTGTGCGACAACACAATCCAGTCCATGCAAAATCCGCCAAAATCTCAGGAGCCACTGACTACGACTTACAATTAACGACGTAGCTCAAACACTGTCAAAATTCCAAAAAGAATCGTAACAATACAACACAAAAACACTGCAGCAAAACCTCACACAATTCGTAAAAAAAAAAAAAAAAAAAAAAAAAAAAAAAAAAAAAAAAAAAAAAAAAAAAAAAAACAACAACAACAACCAAGAAACAAAACGACAAAACCCCGCGGCCCTCGCCACCTTATCATTCCGGATAGATTGCGAAACTGACAAAGCTCGCGCAGCCGTGCACACCTGGAAGGGAAGAAGAAGGAGAAAATTTACCTTCAAACATCGACAAGAATTAAACAGCAATCGACCGCTAGAAGCGCTCGGGTGGATCCAAGGAGCGCGGCAATGCCATCGTGACCTCCATCTTGCACAACACCAGCTCCATGGCGTGGTTTTTTAAAAGACTTTCATCAATTCCTCCTCCTTCTCTATTAAGCACACATCCTCAATCTCACGGTTGCGACAAGTTTTGGTCTCTCATAGCACTGCAATACCACCACCACGAGAATACCATCGCAATTCAACAGCAAAGCACACGCACACGCACACGCACTCTCGTTGAAACAATTTGCCGAAGCTCAGAGTGGATGGATCTGTGCCCTTGCAGCGTTTTATATGCTTTGGCTGGAGGCCTATTCCGGCGGCCATGACGACGGTTCTGTCGAGACCCCGTCGATTACGGCTTGAACTGTGCGGCGGTGCCGGCAGGGAGCAATCCTGGTGAAATCTGTCAGGGCGGGGGGGCTCCTGTGAGCCACACCCAGCGGAGTGTTCCACCTACCAGGGTGTGGTGCCCGAAGATGCTCACACTTACCTTACCGACCGGCAGTCGGTAGTGCGGTCGCATACTATGGGGACGATGACTGCACACGAGTGCTGGAATTTGCGGGCGTCATGACGCCAGGTCCCCAGTGTCTGCATTCCTCCGGAGGAAACTTTGTCTTTTCATCCACTTTATACTTTTATTTCTCATCTCTTTCTGTGAGACGATCCCTAAAAGTACACCGAGATGGCGGGAAAGTGGATGAAATGCCTCTATTGTGGCGAATATCTGGTTCGAAGGATGGACAGATGTAGGTGTGGTGTTACTTGCATTATGGTTTTATTAGTTGATTTAGGGTTAGTTTATGCATTGGTGGCCATTGTTATGATTTTCACTACAAAACTGGGTTGCACATGGAGTCCACCTAAATAACTCAAAAAAAGGGAATATCTTTCCAAGGTGTCTGTCATCAAATGCTTGTATCAAGTCCATTCATGGCATGAAAAACCAAGATCCCATGTGACACATTGTCGATAGGAAAAAAATAAAAATAAATACATAAATACATAAATAAATACACATGTATATGTATATATAAATAATATATAAATAATTTAAATATGAATGGTGATATACAAACATGGCAATGAATGGTACTAGCATTCTTTTCATACACCAAATTCCCCATCAAAAAGTGGGGCACATGTCAAAGAAGTTCCTCCAAAAGGACACCAATCCAATAATGTACTATAAAGACATAGTATTGTGCAATCCATGATGTTTGGTGATATGCTCGGCTCATGTTGCCAAACGCCCTTAAACCATAAATTGTGACAAAAACAAAATGGGAGATGTGGGGATTCATGAAGAACCATTTGAACACATTGTTTTGTGACAAATACACAAAAAAATGCGTTCAAAATTTTAAAATGGTTATGGTTTTATGATAAGTGAAGTAAATGTACTTGGTGCCATGTCAAGGGTAGTATTTCAATATATATATATATATATATAGTAGTATGATGTATCTTTTGTGGTGCAATAGTAGTGAACTAATTTGAGATTTGGTATTTGTTTGGTTGTTTGCTTTTGACAATATGTTTGACTCTAGTATGTACTTGGGTACTTCATTTGTGCCACAGTAAACTTATATATATATATATACATTAGTTTAAAACTATTTTTTAATGATATTTTTGTATTTTGTACAACCTACAATATTTTAAAAATTGATAGATTATATTATGTGTGATGCATAAAATTATTTTGTGTTTGATTAATCAAACACAAATTAAAATAACCTTAAAATAAAATAGTTTATAACTAAGTTGTTTTTTTTAATTATATTTTTCATTCTTATTGTTGCATAATACCATCAATTCATTTTTTTTTTTCATATTCAAATTGATTTCTTTTGTTATACAATTCATGTATCACTAATCTTCTATTAATGTTACATACATGAGCAGTTTTCTTGATATATATATATATATATATATACAAAATACAATTTTAATGAGCATTAACAAAACTATTATAAAACTTAAACTTCTAACACTGTTTGACTTTAATTCGGCATAGAAACTTACTTGTATTTTTAGTTCAAGTATAAAATTGTAACATCATGTTATAAACAATAATAGACCATATACAAAAACATAATATACTTTTTTATAATGACATTTTTTGGTTTTAAAGTTTCTTATTAAGAGAAAAATAAAAATAAGAATAAAAGAAAAACGAAAAACGAAAAACTAAAAAAATAAATGCCTAAACATTGGTAAAGAAAAATTAAACTTTTGTATGGGTCTTTTAAAACTTAATCTGATACATATTTTTCATGTGAATTGCAATTCATGAAGTTGTATAATAATGTGTATATATATATATATATATATATATATATTTGTGTGTATGTGTGTAATTTGGAATTTTTGTGATATTAAAAAAAGAAGAAGAATCAAGTCTAATATCACACAAGGACCATAAATTAAAATAAAGTATCATCTTAGTTCGGTGATTTAAAAAACTATGGTCTCAAAAGATGCTGGACTATAATATTCACAACACAAAGCTTTTCCACCGACTTATTCAAAACAATTATTTTCACAATTCTTTATATATGTTAGAGAAATTTCACATTAATATTAGATAGAAATAGGAATTAAATAAAAAAAAATTTTGGAAGTTGAGAAAGAATAAAATATTAGCATTGTGCAACGCCATTGTGATATTTTACAAAACAGAAATTTAAATTTAACTGATTAAATAATTAATAATACTATTGGTGTGTGATTTTATTATAACATCCAAAGTTGCAATATAGTGAATACAAAACAACTAAAAAACTTCAAATTAAAATAAGTAGAAAGATTAAAAAACATGAGGTGAACAGAATAATACTTTTCATTCTCAAAGTTATCATATGAACACTATTCCTGGTCCACCTTTTTCTTACACTATTGCATTCCAACTTTATTTTGAATTTTGATTAGCATCCATTTGTGTGCTTATCTCAGCATCTACTAACTAATGCTTTAAATTAATAAGTTCAAAATGGCGTTGATAAATTCAACAGCATTGTCAATATATTTATGCATGATTTGGTTACATTTCCATGTGCTTTTTTTTTTAAAAAAACTTCTCTAATCTATTACCCTCTTCTAATAACTACAATTTCTTAGACATTTCACGGCTCAATGAAATATTATTAAAGCTGTACATTGATTTTTTTAATAAAGCTAACTATATTAAACTAAAATTTTAACTGGAATTAAGTTTCAAAGTTTGTTGTTATTATCAAAAATAACTTATTTTTAAGAATTGTAAAATTTATTAAATTATAAAGTTGAATTGTCTATGACATGACTAATATTTTAAATTATAATACTAAAATTTCCTTATATTTTGATAAGAATAACGACATGCATTATCTATTTACCATATATACATTGAGTGTAGCCAATTATGAAAATGAATATCATTTTAGAATCATTTTATATGTTTTTATTTTTACATATTTAAACCATGCAAATATATCAAATATTTCACCTTTTACTGTGAGTATTTTATAATATATTTTTTCAGTTGATAAATTTACTTCTTAATATAATAAGAAAATAAAAAGTCAAAATCAAAATAAAATAAACTTTATATGTATTAGATTCCATACTAAGGAAGAATATAAAAAAGTACATTGTATTTAATATTTTTCATTTATGTTTCACTATTTCAACAGTAAATTTATAATAAAGATAAACATATAGTACTTCTATTTTATATTTTACTTATCATATAACATTTATTATTATTTTTTTTCTTGTTTTGTTTAAATATTTAAATATTTATTTGGTTATTTTTACTCTACATTAATCTTCGTAATTTTCTCCTCCAAGGTTCGTCAAGTATTTTGTAAACTTTTATTATTAGTTCTCTGTGTTTATTTTTTTAATATATTAATATTAATGTGTTATATATTCTTTTTGAGAGAGCACAATAATATTTAAAAAAAATTAAATGCTTAGGAATATTAAATGGAAATATAAAAGATTTGGCTATAAAAAACTAATTATTTTGTTTTTATTTGGTTTGGATCATTGAATGAATTAATTTAATGCTTTTTAAAATATGTTATGTAAAATATTATTTATTATATCATAATTTACATTTTTTTTATTATGAATACAAATATAACTGCATAAAAATTTCAAAATATCATGTCATTTTAGATACGTTAAATAACAGTTCAACATAGAAAAAACTCCATGTTTTCTATTAAACTATTTCAATATATAAATATAATTTTTATAATACATAAACAAAAAAACTAATTAAAATATATACTTGAATGTTCATTTACACTTTGAATGTTTATGCATTGTAATAATTTATACACATTGTAATGTAAGCTTTTCGGTGAAAAAAGTTACAAAATATTGAATGATTGAATCTCAAATTTTGATTTAAATACATAAATTATATTTCAGATATTATGATTGATAGAAAAATATAATATTTATGTACTAGATTCAATTTAAAAACACCCACAAACTGAAGCAGTCACAATCGGCTACATACCAAGATCAAACATTAAGAAGTGGCAAAGAGAGAGAGAGAGAGAGAGAGAGAGAGAGAGAGAAAAAGAGAATGCATTCAACATAAGATTTGAAAGATTACAACAATATAAGAAAAATACACCAAATACTTGAACAAACGATGGAATTAATTAGGTCAATGATAATTGATACACCTACACTATTTATGTATTATGTAGTCACAATTGCTCTCCCTGTCAAATACACAAAAAAATGGCAAGAAAGAAAGAAAGAAAGAAAGTTAAAAGAGTCAAGAATACACACAATCACACTCCCACACCCACACCATAAATGAATAAATAAATGAATGTCTTTGTGCACCTCAACTGGGCAACAGGAAAGCAGCACAAGCGCGAGCTGCTTCTCCATTGTCTTGTGCTTCTTTGTTGCTTCTCTCATGGGTGTAGACTTTAGGATTTAGGGTTTAGGACTCACTCGCACTTTGTTTTTGTTTTGTGGGTGCTTTGGGCTTCGTGTCGCCATGCTTTGTCTTGCTTTGTTTGCAAGGTCCTGCCACATGCATGCACGCCAGTTCAGCTGGGCTGCAGGGTGAGTGTGTGGGCACAGGCAGAGAGGCAGATGTGTGGCTCTTGCAATGCCTGCTTTCCCTCACATACAACTGAACTGGCCTTGCCCCACATTACTCGTTGCAGCAGAAGCAGGAGCAGCGGCAGTAGCACCACCAGTTTGCCCATTCTTCACGTGTTTTGAGGCTCTGAAACGAGCACAGAACCCCCCCTTGAC